GCCCGATTATTTTCATTACCTTCCTCTGAGATGGAGACAAAGTGAGAGAGTAGTACCCAGGAGGGTGCAAAAGCCCCAGGCCACCTGACACCCCAGGGTAGTGGGGCAAAGGCAGCCAGCCTGTCCCGGAGACCCAGGGATGCAGAGGAGCACAACACGCACAGACAGACGGACCCTGACTGAAAAAATCACAGGAGACAAACTATTGCTCCTACAAAGATGGAGCGAAAACTACAGGCAGTGCACGGCCAGGAGGCCGTATGGGAAGTCTGGGCATGTACAAAAATAAAGAGTAATTAAGAACTACCAAAGGGAGAAATGATGAAGGGCTACGGAAAAAGGTGTCCCTGGGCTGCTCAGGAGCCAATTCCCATCTCCACTGCGAGGTCATATTTTGTCAGGTGATGGAGGAACAAAGATAATATCCCATATTAGTGCTCCAGGATGCCAGTGGTGTGTCCTGTCACTTAGAAGGACAGTGATCAATTACAATAATGGAATAGTATTGAAATACACGGTAGGTGGTCTTTCCCATTCTCATTTAGGGGCCAGAAACATGGCCCTTAGGCCCTCAACCCTCCTTCCCCCCAAAGAGTGGAGACAATGAGAGCACAGAGCAGCAGCTCCTACAGCCCCACCACCCATGTGGAAGCTCATTTCGTTGTAAATAGGTGGAGTTTGGTGGAACTGACACTGGGGGCAGGCTGCTCAGTCAGGTCTGGAGGGGCACTTGGCTGTCTTAAGCTTCATTAGGCTCAGAGGCAAGCAGTGGCAGTATACCAAGGTCACTTCTAATTTAGACCATCTAATTGGCAAACAGACTCCAAATGGCTATCATCTCACAGGACTTGGAATTAATGAAGCCCGATTATTTTCATTACCTTCCTCTGAGATGGAGACAAAGTGAGAGAGTAGTACCCAGGAGGGTGCAAAAGCCCCAGGCCACCTGACACCCCAGGGTAGTGGGGCAAAGGCAGCCAGCCTGTCCCGGAGACCCAGGGATGCAGAGGAGCACAACACGCACAGACAGACGGACCCTGACTGAAAAAATCACAGGAGACAAACTATTGCTCCTACAAAGATGGAGCGAAAACTACAGGCAGTGCACGGCCAGGAGGCCGTATGGGAAGTCTGGGCATGTACAAAAATAAAGAGTAATTAAGAACTACCAAAGGGAGAAATGATGAAGGGCTACGGAAAAAGGTGTCCCTGGGCTGCTCAGGAGCCAATTCCCATCTCCACTGCGAGGTCATATTTTGTCAGGTGATGGAGGAACAAAGATAATATCCCATATTAGTGCTCCAGGATGCCAGTGGTGTGTCCTGTCACTTAGAAGGACAGTGATCAATTACAATAATGGAATAGTATTGAAATACACGGTAGGTGGTCTTTCCCATTCTCATTTAGGGGCCAGAAACATGGCCCTTAGGCCCTCAACCCTCCTTCCCCCCAAAGAGTGGAGACAATGAGAGCACAGAGCAGCAGCTCCTACAGCCCCACCACCCATGTGGAAGCTCATTTCGTTGTAAATAGGTGGAGTTTGGTGGAACTGACACTGGGGGCAGGCTGCTCAGTCAGGTCTGGAGGGGCACTTGGCTGTCTCATCACCCTTTAGCTTTAAAGATTCCCTCCTTATACATGTGCGTAAAGACACCTTTGGAGATCTGTTTCCAACAGGCCAAGTGGAATGAAGTGCTGGAGGTGCAGCTTCCACAGTGCAGGGCCAGAGCTGCATTTTGTTCCCAGTGGAGAATATTTTTCAAGCCCCTTCATCGGTAAAAAGAAGGGGGCCCATGGAAGACATAGATATGAGATGCAGAGCATAAGCAAGCAGCTGTTACCATAGCAACAGACATATTAGATACTGCAGGTTCCTGAAAGCTGTCTGATAAGGTATTATTAAATGAAGCCTCCTCAAAACACTCTCCATTTACAACTGAACGGAAAGACATTGTGTAGAAAGTAATCTATTTCCATTTATCAGGGTGGAATTTACTTTTTGAGGGACTGAAACCCAATTCAAGCCAGATCCTGAGACCTTGAACCCAGACAGCAAAAAAAGTATTTATCAGAATTTATAGCTTTAGATACCCTGGACACACCCCATATCTGCCCAGAATCGTCTATTTGGGGATTTTGCCAGGTTTTCCCATTCTGCAGCCAGTGGCAGCTAACTCCGTCAAACCACTTGGCAAGAATGGAAACTTCTCACTGCCATTCACCCCAGCCTCTCAGGAACCAGGCAGATGAAACTTTCTCCTCTCGGAGGACGCGTGACTGTGTGCTGGCCAGTCCTTTGGTTCAGAAATGGAGTTCTGATTTGAGGGGCATTTCTCACTATTCTGTTTTCAGGGTTTCCTGCTCCAGTTGCCCAGGAACAGAGATATACAACCAGAAAGCCTAACCAATACTTTCTGATAGCCAATTTTCTAATAAAATTACAGTGAAATAGCCACCAGGGACCTATCTTAACCACAGGGTCATTACAATCACTTAGATGTAAAACAATTGCAAATTTTGTTTTAGCACCAAACTTTTCAGGGGAAGGACACTGGCAGCTGCTTTGATTTGTCAAGGCAGAGACCACGATCAGTAGTCCAGTCCTCAAACAGGATTCTGGGTTCACTCTGAGGTATGGCCACAGATTCCCCTCTAACCCTGGTTGCTGTTCTTTTCCTGCTGCCCTAAAGGATCAAGGCTACTGGGCTAAAGGATGCTTCATTTAGCCTAATGCAAACCATCCTCATGACTTCAAAAACCAATTCAATACTGACAGCCATGCAATAACTCCATCTTCTCAGGCAAAGAGAGAGTACCAGGTCACCCTTACATATGCCTTTAAGTAAAGATATGTATGGTTACATTTCCCACAACTTTCAACTTTATTTCTGAATCCATTAACTTTTTCTTGTTGCTAGCAAACCGACTTTCTATAATCAGCACATTTCCCACAATTTGCACACTTTTCAGAAATGTCTAGAAAACATCTCCATTGTCTCTTGCGGGAAATGAGGTACACTGGGGTTTGTGTGTACAAGGTGCCAAGCACAGCCCATTCAGAGAACATGTTTCTCCTGTAGAATTACCATGTCAGGCATTCTTCTAGAACCAGGTTTATTAACCTGGCTCCGTGGATGAATTTTAGGGTATCCTTATGCTCCCTGGCACTGTACATACAATTTTGTGTATGTAGAGTACTTGATGGCAGTCTTAACAATAGCTGTCAAATTTCAGTGTGTATAAAAGAACTCAACAAGGCTACTGGATTGTTTTCATCAGGGTCTCCAGAAAGGCTGAGAATCAGTGCTTGAGGAGGTGCTAGTTGGTAGGCAACACTCGGAAATATCTTAAGGATTGGTACCCATGCAAACACAGCAGTGACCTTCTGCCCTTGAAGACGGTGTTGGTAAATGAAGATTCATAATGACTACCAGACTCACTACTTGGAATGTAACTTCCTATTGCTGTTATAAAAGTATAACAAACAATGGATATTTAAAGCATAATTTATACTCTAGTCCCTAGGGATGTATAAATGAAACTTTCTGTCTAATGTAAACCAGGCATACAGATTACAACAGGCTCACACTTCCTAGACCAGATTTATATTAAACAGAAAAAACAATCATCTGAGCAAAGAAAAATGTCATTAAGAATGCAAAATGCTTCCCTCCTCCTATCTTTTTCTGTTCCTTCAGGCTCCCATGGTTCTAGGCCATCAAGGGAAGTGCGATGAGGCCTGAGAAAACCCCCTTGTTATTTCCAAGGCTGCTGAGGATGCCAAGGAAACCTGTAACACAGAAACTCACCCACTCACAGAAGGTTTCCACTCAGAAAATATTTCAACAATGCTCACAAGTCTACTGGAAAATGCCCCTGTGTGAATTTGTACTTGAAAGATCTCCAAAATGAAACTCATACTAGGTCACCCCTGAGTTTCCCGTTGGCTGCTAAAGTTCTTTTGATGCATCATCAATTACACGTTCCTTATGACTAAACATCACTTACAATGTTATTCATTAACTTTGCATAACCAAATGGAGTGGGAAATGCCTAGAGGTTAGACGTCTGTGACTTGTACATTATAACGTGGAATTCTGAACAGACTACCTCTCTGGGAATCTTCACAGGAAAAGGCAATCGAATTAATTTCTTATTATTCCACTGTTAAAATAAGTTAGAGGTAAGAATAATTCTCTTTGGTGGTTTTCCTCTAATGATCAGAAAAAGGCTTGCACAGCTGCCCCAGCACAGAAAGAAAGCAGAACATTAGTATCATCTTGAGTATTTTAAGAGTTTTCACATTCAAATTAGGTTTAAGTCTTATGCTAACCTTTTGGGCCTCGCTTACAGTGGCCACTTAGAGCCATGCTTTCAAAACCTGCAGGTGTAGCAACATCATATTCAAAATGCACAGCCTGGCCCAAGAATCAATACGTGCTATCCAACAGAGCATTTGCCTCTTTTGAGAATACAATTATCCCCTTGAGAAACTCCCACATTACAGGGCTACACGGCTAGGGCTGGGAAACATGGGTTCATCTCAACTCTGCCACTTACAAGTGACCTAAAGTTAACTTCTCTGGGCCACAGCTTCCTCAGCCCTTAATGTAAACAGGTCAGATTTGTTCTCTTCTTGAAATAGGGATGTTGTGAGGACGAAATGAGACTACAAGCAAGATCTGCTAGAACATGATCTGCTCATTAAAGGTCTGGAGGATGTGCATAACAATTTCTCCCTATAAATGGTTAGTAAGCCTAGGCCTTGTGTCCTGCGGGGAGAGAGCAGGGTAAGGTGAGGGTTAGCCCTTCGGGTCACGGTCGTGCCAAGTCCAAGACAGGTACAGTGAAACAGAGATCACAGAACAAGGACCATTTGGACCTGTGCCAACTCTACAGTGGCTTTCTCACTCAGCAACACAGTATCTTGTCTGTGCCATCACACCACCTTGACCCCTGGGGAAAGAAAAGGCACAGGGTCCTGCTCCTGGCTGCCTTACCGTCATAATGAGTTTCTCCACGCAGTCGGGTGCCACACTGTGGAGGTGGGTGAGGTGCAGCTGGAGGTGGATCTTGTTGTTGAGCATGTCCTGGCACAGGGGGCAGCGAAGCATGGGCTGCACGGAGTGCTGTGTCATGGCGTGCACCCGCAGCCGGTTGACGTCAGCATTGCTGTACTTGCAGTAGGGACACTGGTACATCTGCGGGGAACACAAGCCACCCCTCCAGCTGAATCTCCAGTTCCCCCCAGCAGCTGTGCCTGCCCCAGGCCCGCCTACCCCAGAGTTCATTCCCACTGGTGTCTAAAACACTCCCCCCGCCTGCAGAGCCCCTTCTGGCCTCACCTGCTCTGCTTTGGTCTCCTCTGCTGTTTTTGGTCGCTTCGAAGGGAGAGGAGATTCTGAGCTACTGGGGAAGGAGATGCGTTTTGAAGTGGCAGGAGAATCTGTGAGCTCCTTCTCTGCTTGGCTGGACGATGCTGAAGAAAAGACAGAAGACACAATACAGCAGCCGGACCAGGCTAGCTCCCAGAGGGTTTGTGTTGGGTGAAAATCAACAGTCATTTATAGCACTTGATTTTCTTGAAACACTGAAATGCAAGTATGACGAGCACCCAGATTTATCAAGCACACCGGAGAAGAAGCAAGTATCTCTATTTTCCCCATGAATTTCTGCCACTACTTTTAACAACTGAACACTAGGGGAAAAAAAGGTAAAGAAATGGATGAAAAGGCTCTGAGTTACCCTATGCTAAATTCAGTCTATTCAGACTTCCCCCAGTCAAGACACAGTCCTCTGGCTTGCAGGGGGCAGCAGGGCAGAGGGAGGGCGGGGGGAGTCTGGCCAACTGCTTCAGCAATCACCAGTCAACCTGAGACGCAGACACACTCTGCTTTCACAGACGCAGTGAACTATGTGTTCCCAACTTCCCTGGCCCAGCTTTTAGAACCACAGCACAGCACACATGGTAAATGTGACCCGAGACAGGCTCACATGGGTATCTGCATACAAATACGTGGCACAAAAAATCAAGCTTGGGTTCCATAAATTGCTTTCGGGGAAGAATAGAACGGAGTGTGAATCCAAGTTAGAAATCGAGCCAGTGCTCCAGGCACAGGAGTTGAGACAGATGGCGGTGGGGGTGGGACAGTTTCCTGTCTGCTTCCTCGGACTGTGCCCTCCATACCCCAGTCCACCAAAAACCCAAACTATTAATCAATGCAGGTCATGGAGGCTTAGGTCAAAAACAGTGGGTAGGGAGTGTTGGTGGACGGAGTTCTCTGCAGCATGGACAGCAGCTGGAAGACTTGGATGAGGAAACAGCTGGCTGAAGGGTAACCAGGATAAGCAGGGTGCCTCCAGCACAAGCACAGATCCCAGCACGGCCGGACTGTGTCATTCGAAAACCCAGTCAGTATCAAGAGTTGGGGCCTCACATGCTTTGGATATGGAACTTCATTTTTCAGAATTTTGCTAAAAATGATAGGCAAAAAAAAAAAAAATTCTGAAAATGGTACTGAGAAAATAAACACACTTCCCTCATTGAAAAATAATTTGACTCGGCATTGAAGCCACTGGTTTAGCAAGCCTTCTTTTTTACTCTTTGGTCAAACTGCTTTCTGTCTCACCCAGTCTTCTTACCTAGTATGTGCTTCCCCTTTACTCAGCTTTGAAATTTGTTGACGTGGATACCAAGATGCTGTCATTACAGGCATATGCTTTATTAAACAATTTTAGAAAATCAATTTTATTCATTAAAATCATAAGACCACAAAATAATCTTGAAAAAAAAAATTGCTAAATGCAGGAAATATTCCAGGAAGTTGATGCTCTTCCCAGAATGCACATCTCGTGACCCTTAAACCCCAGTATCTCGGTAACCTGTTCTACATAAGTTTGTAGGACATCTATTATTTAAAAAGTACAAGGACAGGCATTTTACACAGACCCCTCCTCCTCCCAACACACACATTCATAACCGTACTTTAATCTGTCTTGAATCGACTTCAAACCCATTTTGCTCTTAATGGGAGTTATTCATTTTCACATGAAAGGTAAAACATGACGGCTGGATATTTAATGTGATGGACTGGCTGCTGATTAACTAGGTGCTGTAACATTCTAGACCGGTTCCCCCATGGCCCACTTCCCGTCTCCTGGCTCCCTGCAGACCTGATCCCGCAGAACCTTGTGTCATGGGCTTTAGACCTCACAGTGTGATGGGCCCCTGCCTGAACACTCCCACGACAGGAATCTTTAATTAATGTTTCAGGGACTTAAGCTGCCCAAGCCCCCAGTAGGTTCCTTATTCTCCATCATCTTTCATTTTTGCATACTGGTTATCTTCTATACATTAAATCCTCAAATGCTTTCTAAAGATGTGGGGGAGAGGCACTAGATGATACTTTAGGTCTTTATTTTTTATAGCCATCTCTTCGCCTTCCCTATTTCCACCTCCAGCCTGGAGGCATTAGGTTAGGCTCACGACTTACAGTTTGGAAAGAGCCACTATCTGCTCCTCCTCCCACTAGATGCAAACCAAGACATGGACTGATTCCAAACACCCATCCAACCACTCGTCCCTGTCTTTCTGTTGGTCTGCCTGACCTAAAACAACGCTTGCTTTTACAAGACCATGACACTACCTTGTAGACACCCTCAACCTGCCCGCTCGCGCCTCTGGAAGGACTGCCAGCTGTGCAGCTGCCGGCAGTGTGAATGCGTGCGCACTGAGGCTGAGACCACCCAACTCATCTCACCCACTCGGAGCTGAAAAGCAATCACAGCGTAACCTGGTGCCGCATCAGCTTCCTCATAGGACCAAAGAGTCCATCCTCTTCCTTCAATGCTGAGCACATGATGAATTGTGACGAGGTTGCAGAGGTGAGATTTCTGGTTTCAGAAGCCACTATTCTTTCCCGCTAAATGGATGAAAAGGCTCTGAGTTACCCTATGCTAAATTCAGTCTATTCAGACTTCCCCCAGTCAAGACACAGTCCTCTGGCTTGCAGGGGGCAGCAGGGCAGAGGGAGGGCGGGGGGAGTCTGGCCAACTGCTTCACCAATCACCAGTCAACCTGAGACGCAGACACACTCTGCTTTCACAGACGCAGTGAACTATGTGTTCCCAACTTCCCTGGCCCAGCTTTTAGAACCACAGCACAGCACACATGGTAAATGTGACCCGAGACAGGCTCACATGGGTATCTGCATACAAATACGTGGCACAAAAAATCAAGCTTGGGTTCCATAAATTGCTTTCGGGGAAGAATAGAACGGAGTGTGAATCCAAGTTAGAAATCGAGCCAGTGCTCCAGGCACAGGAGTTGATACAGATGGCGGTGGGGGTGGGACAGTTTCCTGTCTGCTTCCTCGGACTGTGCCCTCCATACCCCAGTCCACCAAAAACCCAAACTATTAATCAATGCAGGTCATGGAGGCTTAGGTCAAAAACAGTGGGTAGGGAGTGTTGGTGGACGGAGTTCTCTGCAGCATGGACAGCAGCTGGAAGACTTGGATGAGGAAACAGCTGGCTGAAGGGTAACCAGGATAAGCAGGGTGCCTCCAGCACAAGCACAGATCCCAGCACGGCCGGACTGTGTCATTCGAAAACCCAGTCAGTATCAAGAGTTGGGGCCTCACATGCTTTGGATATGGAACTTCATTTTTCAGAATTTTGCTAAAAATGATAGGCAAAAAAAAAAAAAATTCTGAAAATGGTACTGAGAAAATAAACACACTTCCCTCGTTGAAAAATAATTTGACTCGGCATTGAAGCCACTGGTTTAGCAAGCCTTCTTTTTTACTCTTTGGTCAAACTGCTTTCTGTCTCACCCAGTCTTCTTACCTAGTATGTGCTTCCCCTTTACTCAGCTTTGAAATTTGTTGACGTGGATACCAAGATGCTGTCATTACAGGCATATGCTTTATTAAACAATTTTAGAAAATCAATTTTATTCATTAAAATCATAAGACCACAAAATAATCTTGAAAAAAAAAATTGCTAAATGCAGGAAATATTCCAGGAAGTTGATGCTCTTCCCAGAATGCACATCTCGTGACCCTTAAACCCCAGTATCTCGGTAACCTGTTCTACATAAGTTTGTAGGACATCTATTATTTAAAAAGTACAAGGACAGGCATTTTACACAGACCCCTCCTCCTCCCAACACACACATTCATAACCGTACTTTAATCTGTCTTGAATCGACTTCAAACCCATTTTGCTCTTAATGGGAGTTATTCATTTTCACATGAAAGGTAAAACATGACGGCTGGATATTTAATGTGATGGACTGGCTGCTGATTAACTAGGTGCTGTAACATTCTAGACCGGTTCCCCCATGGCCCACTTCCCGTCTCCTGGCTCCCTGCAGACCTGATCCCGCAGAACCTTGTGTCATGGGCTTTAGACCTCACAGTGTGATGGGCCCCTGCCTGAACACTCCCACGACAGGAATCTTTAATTAATGTTTCAGGGACTTAAGCTGCCCAAGCCCCCAGTAGGTTCCTTATTCTCCATCATCTTACATTTTTGCATACTGGTTATCTTCTATACATTAAATCCTCAAATGCTTTCTAAAGATGTGGGGGAGAGGCACTAGATGATACTTTAGGTCTTTATTTTTTATAGCCATCTCTTCGCCTTCCCTATTTCCACCTCCAGCCTGGAGGCATTAGGTTAGGCTCACGACTTACAGTTTGGAAAGAGCCACTATCTGCTCCTCCTCCCACTAGATGCAAACCAAGACATGGACTGATTCCAAACACCCATCCAACCACTCGTCCCTGTCTTTCTGTTGGTCTGCCTGACCTAAAACAACGCTTGCTTTTACAAGACCATGACACTACCTTGTAGACACCCTCAACCTGCCCGCTCGCGCCTCTGGAAGGACTGCCAGCTGTGCAGCTGCCGGCAGTGTGAATGCGTGCGCACTGAGGCTGAGACCACCCAACTCATCTCACCCACTCGGAGCTGAAAAGCAATCACAGCGTAACCTGGTGCCGCATCAGCTTCCTCATAGGACCAAAGAGTCCATCCTCTTCCTTCAATGCTGAGCACATGATGAATTGTGACGAGGTTGCAGAGGTGAGATTTCTGGTTTCAGAAGCCACTATTCTTTCCCGCTGTATGGAGAAGGGGACTTTTATTGCCCTTTTTTTCCCCTCTCTCTCAAACTGTCAAACTGCTCTGGAATTCTAAAGCTTCCTTTGTGAGCTTGAGCTGAGCAGTCCTTATAAAGTGTTTTAAAAAATAAAATCAGCCCTTGCTGACTCATTCCTCTTTCGCCCCAGGAACACAAACAGCCCTGCTATAATTCGAAATGCTGCACCACCACTGTAAAAACTTCTAGGGCTCACCTCCCTTCTCCCCACAAACAACCTGCATTTTTATTTGATCAGATTTGTCTAGAAGTGGACACTAGCCACCCACAGCTCACTTGTTCCTTCTCTAAAGATAAAGCCATGGCATTCTCAT